GGGTTCAAAATATGGGTCATCATGATTCCATTTGTGAAGAAATTTTAATGAGTAATATTTTTAAAGGCAATCACTTTAAAAATTAAAATTAGGAATATCTCCAAATACACTTTATGGGATTTAAAAGTGAATTTTTGGTTAATCTGAGCCATTTGGCAATTCTTTGATCCTGGATTTCCCCACATTTCTGCTGTTATACTATAATCAGAAATTATCTTATGAAACACATGAAACTTAGTAAGACTTTTATTTGAAATACAACATAATTAAGAAAAACAAACTGAAGCCAAAGTAGCAAATTTTAAAATTTAGTAAAAGCAGCACTTACCCCTGGGACGACTGGAAGTAGTAGCAAGTGGGAGTGAGGGATGATGGTGGTCCCTTCATCTACTGCTGTCAGTTTATAAATATTCATCAAGCTATATTTTTGAAATATGAACCCTTTATCATCTATAATACTAAAAGTATAATATACTAATTAGACCAGACATCTTTCTGGATGTCCTTCCAGACAACCTTCCCGACGATGCCGGGGCTGTGAAGGAAGCCCGGGTCCCCGGTGCCTGCCTGCAGCTGGAGGGAAGCCCGGGTCCCGGGTGCCAGAGGGAAGCCAGTGGTGGCAGCCGGGGGAAGGAAGGCTGCCACCACGATTTTCATGCATCAGGCCTCTAGTATGTAAATAATACCTCAATAAAAAGGAAAAAAAAATAAATAAAACCATTAATCCATAAAATTTTAGTTAAAGAGGTTGCTGAATATAGGAGCTTCTCCATAAGTTTGTAGTTCAAATGGTGTCTACTTGCTGCACCAAGAAGGTCTGAGGCAAGAGGTTCCCAACTCTCCCATGGCTCTAGTCTTGTGATCAGGCTTATTCTTTGGTTAATTAGTGGCTTTAAATGGAAAGTTTAAAATTTAATAACTTGGTCTCTAAGTGAAACATGGAAAAATCCCACCAGCAAAATAATTCCAAGTCAATCTTTCTCGCTTCAAATTGAGGCCCAAATCCATCCACAAATATTAAAAGAATACCTACAGATACAAGTGCCATGATACGTATACAGGAGAAGAAAAAGGAGCCAGACTGCATACCTTCCTACTCTTTAGCTGTGCAGACAGACATATACAAATGGATAGATGACAGTTTTCCTAGATGATATGTAATTTGTAGCAAGTACTGAGGCAGTACTAGGCTTGCTGGTGCTGGGGAGGTTGGGCTTTCTAGACCAACACACTAAAATTTACTTATAAGTGGTATATACACACAATAACATTGCGGTGGCTGATGAGATTTATGTTGGATTTATAAAAAATAAGAATAAGTAACATTCTGGTGTATTAGTTGGCAATATTTAGCTATGAACTTTTTTGACATAGTTAAAAAATAATGGCACATTGTCATTGAGAAGTATATGTAGAAAGCAGAGTTCTAGATAAAAAAATAAAAATAATATTATAATTCTGTTAACTATAAATCCATAAATATGTTGCTGTGGTTTACAAACAAGCATGAGATCACATGCTATATCATTTATTTTAAATGATGTACATTTTTAACAGTTTAACAAGCTATTTGAAAATGCTAAGATTCCAGAACAGCAACAAAACTTTTTTAAATTAACTTGGAAAGAATAGTGAAACCTACACTTAAAAACACATGTCTTATTGGGAAATTAAATTCAGTATTTAATAGAGATATTAAACATTACTGAATATATAAATTAAACAGTGTAAAAATTCATTTGTCTCCTCAGTTTTAAATTCCAAGAAAATGTTAATGATCCCAAAGTGTATATAGAAAAGTAATAAATAAAAACAAAAGTGAACACTTTGAAAGTAAAAGGGACAACCAAAGGTTTTTGAGCCTTCCTGAAAATATATCAGAACTGGAATGGAAACAAAAAAACAAAAAAATGAGGAAAGCTGCATAGGTTCAATCTGCATAGAATTTTCTCAATCTGCAGAACATTCTACCAAATAACAACAACAGACTCAGATTTCAGACAACATTCTTGGGTATATTCATTCATTTTAGAGCTGTACTAGAACAACAGTCCAGCTGATTTCATTGACAAGGAATAGCATATAGTACCTGTCACTAAGCCTCTTATCCTCAAACCTTCCATCTGAGGTTATTACTGTTATGAGTATACAGAGAGAGATATAAAGATATATAGAGATATATACTATGTACAATATATATAGATGCATGGCATATCTATATACATATATACTATATACTACACATATATACTAGATACAGAGGTAGGTGAACTAGGTTTACAGTTGTGAGTACGTGAAACATAGTTTATTATTATTGTATTATTTTCCATGCAACAACTGTAAACCTACCTTTGCCCACTCCCATGTACTATATTAAAGGTCTATAAAAATTGGAGGCAAAACATGATGACAACAATGATCACATCTGAACTGTGAAAACTGGGTAATTTTTATTCACTTGGTTAGAATTTTCTGCTATTCTCTAAGCTTTGTAAAAAATTGCAAATTATTCGAGGACATTTTTCATCAGTATATAATTTTTTGTGCCATAAAAACACATATACTATGTAAGAACATGTACATGGAAGGAGTTTTAAAATATTAATAGAGAATATTTGGGGGAGTAAAACTCAAGAGGTTATTGATTTCTTATTCTATTCTTTTCTTCTTAAGTCTGCTGAGCCTATGTCCTCTTTGCAATGGTAAAGTTAAGGTTTATTTTTAAAACTAATATGTAGAACCAAGGGAATACTAGCACATAAGGTTAAAGATGACTGAGGCATCCTGATCCTACTAGATAGTGAAGCTCATTACATTATACATTTACTTAAAATGTTTTATTTAATACAGATAAACAGATTAGCAAATCAATGAAAATGAGTCTCCAAATGCATTCAACTACATATGAGGAATTTAATATAATAAAGTAAGCTTTCCATCACAAACAAGTTAAAAATATCATCTAATAAATTTGGTTGAGATATTTAGCAGCAGTTTGGAAGGAAAACATAGTAAGAAGGGAAAGTCAAAGCTAGTATGACATATTCTACCCAAGTAAATTCCAAAATTATTAATGAGTTGAATATCAAACTAAAACACTAAGTTATAAAAAAAGTCAAAACAGCAGAGAATAGAGTAGACTAAGAGGTTGTTAATAAATGTTTTTAGCTTTGATGTATGAGAGAAAATCAAAAGGAAACGTTTATCACATTAAAATATACAAATGCAATATCTCTGTACAAGTTTTAAAAAGCAGCACAATATTGTGAAAATATTTACATAAAAATTTTGATGCACGATATGTCTAATAGAGTTTATTCAAAGTTATAAAACACAGAAGAGACAAATGAGAGAAGTTATAAATAACATTAGCAGAAGATAAAATTAGAAATTATCAAAATATGTGTAAAAATTTTAATTCTTATTTGTAAGCAAACAACAAATTAAATTTGAGATACTGTTTTACAGGTACTAAACAAGCCAAAATAAGTTTTAAAAAATAAGATGCTGTAAAACTGTGGAGAACTTGTACACTACATTTTAATTGCATTTATAACTCATTTTGAAAACAATATGGCAAAAGGTAGCAAGGGTGATAAAAATGAATATCCTCAGACATCCCATCTACAGAATTTATGTTGATCATATAATTCCACATACACAAAAGAGATTAGCACAAAAATTTTGGTGTGTTCCATTATAGTAAAAAGGGGGGGGGAGGAAATGATTATGTTAAATCACTGCATAATGAATAAGTTAACATAGATGTGTGAGAATTACTCAGCAATTGGGAAAATGCTTAATATATAATGATAAGTGAATAAAAAATACCATGTTATGAATGCTGTATTTTTTTCAATTATGTAGAAAATACAAATGATAAAATGCAAAATATGAAAATAATTGATGTGTTAAAGTATAGTATAAATACATTTCCTAGTTTAAAAATATTTAAACCCAATTGTTTCTGATAATTAGCACAAATATATGATAACAAGATAAAAATATGGTTTTATGAAATAAAAATATTTTTTATAAATAAGACATTTAGTGAAAAACAAATGTACAGTCAAAGCATCGATTGTGGTGTGTGTGTGTGTGTGTGTGTGTGTGTGTGTGTGTGAAGAACACCTAGTCTCTATGTCTTTCACACATTTCTCTTCAGAAGTACAAATATGTATAAATAATTACACGTGTTGTTTATCTCACAGCCACTGTGAAGATGAAAGGAAACAGTAGGTGTGACAATACTTATCCTAGGACATCCCTGCCTGGCACATTCATTCTAGGTGCTCAAAAAATGTTCCTCAATGCAAAGTCAAATAATGCCAAGGGTTTACTAAATTTTGTTATTAGTAAACGCGATGCAAATGTTCTTCATCTTTATGAAGGAACTAAAACTGAGCATTTTAGGAGGCCCCACCAGACCTTAGGTTTCAGGAGTCTTTAAACTTCCATGGAACAAGTGGAACATGAAGAAAGATAGAAACCACGGATATGTATACATTGCAGAGAAGCTTTAAAAATCAGTGTGTCTGTGCGTATAAAATAAACTCTGTTAAGCACGAAACAAAATAAGCACACACACCTGCTTCGTTTGATTTCACAGCGTGCCCTCAGGAAATGCTTGTCTGAAGCTGAAACTCCATGACCCAGGTGGACAAGCGCCAATTCTACGCTAACATGAAGTGCTTTTTTTTCTCTGGAGCGATAGGCAATGCTTCTGACACAGGAGTGAACTATTTGATGAGAAATATGTGCCCCCTGTTCCTCCTCAAGTACTTCTATGCACACAGGCTGCTCATTGGAGGACAGAACCTGCTGTGCAGCCTATTGAACCTGCCGATGCTCGGCTTGCTGGAAAGCCACGTCTGGTGGAGACGGTAAAGTTCGCAGTCTCTAGGCTATGTCCACCTCTCGCTCCCCCAAACCAGTGCTACCCTCCACACCTGTGGAGGCTGGATCTCTGATCCCTCAAGGCTTCTGTGCCGCAGACATACCTGATTCTTCTGGACCCTGAATGGCACGCCTCTTCCTGATGCTCCGACTGAAGTTACTTTCTTGTGCCGCTGGTGGTGCAAAGATCCCCTAAGAGCAGAAAACACCCAGGTTATGACAAAGATGTCTGAGGAAGGATAGGCAGCACCGTGGGGAGAACTGTGCCTAGGCCTCACCCAGCTCAGCTGCTTCGAACTTACTTTCAGTGCCGAGGTGGCAGCTGGAGCTTCCTGCACAGCTGCCCTGGGGGCTGCTGCTCCCGCCCGGGGAGGGCCTGGCAGCTGCTCAGCTTGGTGCTCCAGCAGTTCCTCCCGGAGGCTCTTCAGCTCCCCTTGCAGGGCAGCCACTCTGCAGAAGGACACCACTGTGAGGCAGCAGGACACCAGGGCCAGCAGCAAGGTCAAGGCCAGCAGCGAGCCATCTCTGGAGAACCGGGCAGAGGGGCTTTCCTTCTGGGGGAGGAGGGAGACATACTCCTTCAGTTTCATTTCTTCTCTTCTCTTCAGACCAGGAGAGAGGCGTGCCGGCTTCCCTTCTGTGGAGTCATTCATTTCACTCCTTGGACTTTGAAGGTTTGGGTCTTCAGAATAAGTGACCACGGGGAATGGGTCATTTCCTGTTATCTGTGTTTGTTGATGTCCTACATTGACTACAGCGGCCAGTTTGGCGCTTGCCCTCAGGAGAATTCTCCTGAATTTTCTTCTCCCCACAGGGCTGCATCTCTGCCCCTACGTGCAATAGGTCTTCCTGGCATCCGCACTTCCAGCGATTGCTCAATCCGTCTTCCTCATTTCACTTTCAGTTTTTGTAAGAATTGTAATGACATCTCCAAACATTCAGACACAAACGAGTCCCTTAAATCTATTGATTCTATGGAACTTAGGGTTTGAGAGAACTTGTAAGCGACATGAGTGTTTAAGGAGCTCCCCCTTTGGCATGATGAGAGAACTGGGTCTGCTGGGGCCATGTGGCTTTGCAGGGAAGGGAGAAAAGAAGACGCAAGTTCCTGCTGGTGTAAGAAAAATAATTAATGTGAAGGTCAGATAAGCGAAGTGCCCTAGCATTGAACTGTACTCAGCTGGAGAGTGATTTATTAACAGCTCTCGAGTAGAAAATAAAATGAAGTATCCTCAAGGGGAGCATAGGAGTCCTCTGGGGAGCAATCTTTCTATTATTATCTTAGCAAAGTAATAAGAAGGATGTGACTGAAATGTGTACGCCTGTTTAGATTTGAGGAGGGTTCTTTACAGGAGGGGGAATACATTTTAAAGGGAAGCCTGCGTCATCTTTTACCTCTGGGACTCACTGCTAGGAAGTCAGTTACCCACAGGACAGCTTGCCCTGAGGAGGTGCCCACCCCTGCTGTTCCCACATCTGGAGCTTCTAGTACCCCTGTCTTGAAGGAGAATTGACCTTACTTCCAGCTCCCAATGCCTCAGCCCCACCATTCGTTGCTCTTTCCCTATAGCACCTTATGCTCTAGTCCACACTAGGCTGCCTCTGCCCCAGTCTAACAGGTTTACCAAGTGAACTATTCAAACCAGGGTCACTTTAGCTTCAAATCTCTATTGTTAGGCTTGATGTTGTGGCAAGGACACCCATCCTGAGGTGTCTACCTGGACATTGTCTGGTTTCTGGTTGCTTTGTCTCCAGCACCTACATATCCTGTAAGGAGCTCACACTTCAATAACTGAGTTACCAAGCACTTGCCAAGGCCTGGTGAGGCACAACTGGGTGCCAATACTGCAAAGCATTAGCTCTATCTCACCACACGTCTATGTCATCTTTAAAGACAGTTACAAAAATAATTTCAGTGAAGGTAAGGGCTCCAGAGCCAGGGTTCAAAAGTATAAGCTCTCTGTTAAGTGGGATGATAGCTGTCCCTGGAATTGGTAGTGAGGTTCACCGAAATGTAGAACAAACTACATTTCATATGCTTCCATTTTTCATCCATTTTTACTCATTGCCATTGTTGTGACATGAGATGCTTCTTTCATTCACCCATTCCATGAAATACGTTACATTACGAAGTCCCACAAGAGAGCACTTGTAAACGTCTGCAAGAGTTTCCCAAGCAAACAGCTGCTGAAGAGTAGGCACGTCTTCACCTTTACCGAGTGTCACCGAGCTACCCTCCCATGTTTCCTCATTGTCTCGATAAGTGCGAGTTCAGCCGACTTACTCATTTTTACCTACTGGGATTATTATTGTTCCCTTCGTGTCCGCAAGTCCCAAGATCTTTTTCAATGACTTGACAAAAATAATAAATTATTCTAATCATTACCTTGGTCCTCCAAATGTGCTGTCTCTAATCTATCAAGTGGAAGTCTTCTATGAGAGACAGCAAACTCTTTTGGTCAGACATCACACAATACAAGTCTTTTGTCACAGCTCTTGTTTCCATGTCAATCAGACAGTGTTTCAATTTTTAAAAAGCATTAGTTTGGGAATTATATTAAAGCCTTCTGACTGAAAGTAACTGGAACTCACTCAAATTATATGTGTGTGTTAATATTACCCGAAAACGTAGAAATAAAAGAATTCAAGGCAGTGCTAGAAATCAGTTGCTCTCTCTCTCTTCTTTCACTCAGAGCACCTGCTCATAGCCACTGCGTCTTTCTGGGAGTCAACCTTCTTCCATTGATGACTGGCCATTGGTCTCCATATTCTGTTATAAACGTTCTGAAGAGAAAGGGAATAATTAATTGCTTTAGCGAATTCCCCCTGCCTTTGTTGCTCTGTTGGGCAGAGAACATCATTGCCGACCCTCTCAAGAGGGAGTCACTGACCACCCACATGCAGGCCATTTTACAACATGTAGCCCACCTTGGGTCAAGCAGTGGGCAACTCTGAACACAGAGGGAGCTAGTGTTTCCTCCCCAAAAGGCAGCACGGAGGCCTCCCCTGACCAGACATGGGGCAAGCAGACTGCCATTTGCATGTCCTCCATGATGATCACACAATTTCTCTGAAGACAGGTAGAAAACTAAGAGGCATTCATCTACTTTTGAATTTCTAATTAGAAGAACAAGAGGAAGTTATTCCATAAATTAAAGATCTATTTCCTGTGGAGGAAATGGTTTGATGGTAATTCAACTGAAATTCTGTTAAACAAAGAGCATGTTTATTTACTGAATAATACACCAAACCACAAGTTTATTCATGGGAGGAAAAGCTGCCATACCTGAGCCACAGAGTTCTCTGTCAGTATTTTGCTATTTTTTATCCACTTCTTTTTCTCAACTGAAATGTACAGCATTCTCCTGTAACATAGCTATACCAAATTTAATTAACAAATTGAGATACCATGTTCCTTGTCCCATTCACCCAGGAGTGGGCAGTAAGGAATGTGCGAGGGTACATTTGAAAAGAATTTAAGTTATCCAAGGCACTAAACCTCAGCAAAAAATAAACATCCACTCTTTGAATGCTTGCTTCTTATACTGACAACTTCAGTTTAACTTCTGGCTTAATAATACTAGGAAGAACTAGCGGTTTGGGGAAATCCCTTGTAAACCCCTTTCTTTGAGGAAAAGGTTGCCTTTCATAAGAGTTGTATCACTCAAGCACAGAGACAGTTTTTCTAGATAAGCAGAAGTACCTAAAAACAGATCTGGGTAAAAATGGCTTCTAAAGTACTCAGAATATAAAAAATAGTTTCATTTCAGAAAAAAAAAATCATGTTGTTGTCTGGTAGAAATAGATATGTAATCAATGGTTATTATAGTTACAATGAAACTTGATTTTGAAGGCTAAATGCTAACCATTTGTAAACTTAACTGCAAAATAAGCATATGCTTTTAAAATTATACAACTCTGGTCATTTCCTGTACAAAAAATAATGTCAGTGGCAAGGCTGATTTCTTTCTTAATAGACATATTAAAAAGAGAAGTGTGAATGCATTTGCTGGAGCTTAATTTTTGTCATTGTTGGAAAAAAGGCACTTTAGTAAGAACTTCATTTTCATTCATAAATATGTTCTCAATTTGTTGTACAGCTGCTTTCAAATTTAATGCTCTTGAATGTTAGTCTTTATTTAAGTTTATTTTAAATAAATTTCCGTGTAATCAATGCTATTTTCAATTAGAGTGCAATTTAGTTGTGTCATTCTTTACTTTTATAATAATTATATAAGAATATTTTCATTAACATTAAGGTGAATATGTGCCAGTCAATGCGATCATCTACCTATTTTATATACATGAATGAACAGCCTATAGAATACACATTGACACACAAGGACACTCATCCTATATAATAAATAGATAATATGCAAATTGACCGTCACACCTTCACAAGATGGCTGCCTACAACCAGGCTGGAAGGGGGGGTTAGTGAGGGACGACCAAATGACTGAACAAGCAGGCTGCATGGGGTAACCAGGCCAGCGGGCGGGCTTTGAGGGTTGACCAGGCCAGTAGGGGGCATTTGGGGGTGACCAGACCAGCAGGGGAGGCAGTTGGGGCGACCAGGCCAGCAGGGGGGGCAGTTGGGGGTGGCCAGGCTGGCAAGGGAGGGGCGGTTGGGGGTCACCAGGCCAGCAGGGGGGGCAGTAAGAGGCAACCAGGCCAGCGGTGGGGAGGGCAGTGAAGGGCAACTAGGCCAGGGGGCACTGTTGAGGGCAACCAGGCCAGCAGAGGGGGGCAGATAGGGTGACCAGGCTGGCAGGAGGGACAGTTAGAGGCAACTAGGCAGGCAGGCAGGTGAATGCTTAGGAGCCAGCAGTCCAGAATTGTGAGAGGGATGTCTGACTGCCGGTTTAGGCCCGATCCCATACTTCAATCCTATTCATCCCAGGGATCAGGCCTAAACTGGCAGTGGGACATCTCCTGAGGGGTCCCAGATTGGAGAGGGTGCAGGTTGGACTGAGGGGACCTGACACCCCCCCCCCCCAGTGCACGAATTTCGTGCACCTGGCCTCTAGTGCTAGTATAATACCTGGTTAGATTCGACCACCTCAAAGATGTTGGGAGAAATGATAAAGTAATCCTACCCATGCAGGAAATATTACTTGTGAAATTCTCTTTACCTTTAGAAATTAATAAAGCAGAGTTTAGTTTTGAAACATATTTTTTGGCATTTCCTTTTTTTACTTGAATTTATTGGGGTGACATTGGTTAATAAAATTATGCAAGTTTCAGATATGCAATTATATAATACATCATCTGTATATTATATCATGTGTTTTTAATGATTTATTTGAAATTTCGTTTATTGAATGTAAGTAGTTAGGAGTTAGGAGTGCAGACTCTGAAGTCAGACATGTCTGTACACCCAATTTTTTGTCACCATCTTAACAGATTATTTCCTGCTCAAGATCTAGAAACTGATTTTGTTTCAATATCCATCTTTGTGTGATGCTGACCAATTGCATACTTCAATCCTATTCATTGCAATGCAGACCTAGTGACTCCATCCAGTGGCTACTTATAGCTAAGAATAAACAAATGAGCGGTTTTTAACAATCAGGTATTGTTATTTTTCCTTTTTGAAAAGGGTGACTGGATTTATTCTGGGTTCACATAGAAAATGCAGGTCCATTAGATACATCAATGTTAAAAGGAGGCTCATGAAAAAGAGTGCATCATTTTTTAAGAGAAACACAAGAAAAAGACACTCTTCTTGTTCTGTCACATATCCGCATAGAACAACCTAGAACAGTGCTGGCTGCCCACCCACTGCTGTGAAGTCCTGGCTGCCAGTCTGAGGGTAAGAGAGCAAGATCAGAGAAGAAATCTGGGTCTTTAATAGCACCATTGTGCTGCTGACTTAATCATGTTCTCTTATTTGGGGCCAACTTCTTTGTTTTTTTTAATCCTCACCTGAGGATCTGTTTTACTGATTTGAGAGAGAGAGAAACATCAATGTGAGAGAGAAACATCAATGTGAGAGAGAAACATCAATTGGTTGCCTCCCATAGGCATCATGACTGGAGGTGGAACCCACAACCTAGGTATATGCCCTGGCCAGGAATCAAACCAGCAACCTTGTGGTGTATGGACAACACTCCAAGCAACCAAGCCACCCAGTCAGGGCTGGGGACTTCTTATACTAAGTAATACTTTTTCCTTATTCTTTAAGCCAAGTTGGTTAATGCACCCAAAGACATCCTAATTCTGCTAGATTGAGAATATTTCTATTCCTACAACTAAAGAACTTTGCACACAACAGTTTTGAATGCTCTTTTAGCATTTTTCCAAATGTCCTTTTAAAAACTACAATGTAAAAAGAAAAGGTCAGCATGCATTGCTAGAAAAACTAATTCATTTAAGAAAAGTCTTATTCTCAGTTCTATAGAGTTATTTTTTGATAACTTCAGTTATTTAGTAGTGTTAGGAAACTTAAGAAAACATCTCTAAAAGTGCTATTATGTGGAGGTGTATTTAATGGACCTGCCTTTTCTATGTGGACCCAGATAAATTCAGTCCCTTCTTTCAAAAAGGAAATATGAAATCAGAATTAGGAGTCTCCTTGTAAGGAGTAAATCACCTCAAAGAAAAGACAAACCAAGGGAGGACCAGGGTATTTTGAGAAAAATGCAACTTAAGTGAATCTTTCTTCTCCTTCCTACCAACGTTTTAAGCTATCTATCTTTCCTGAGCTAAACTGAAGGGAGCCGGGAGCCTAGAGACTAGCTAGGCTAGATGTTAGTGAGACCTTGGTTCTAATTGGCCCTACACAGAGAAAAATGATGTGAGGCTTTTCCCCCAAAAGTAAGAATTTACACTATTGTATATGAGACTGGAGTCTGAGTGGATCTTGGAATGAATGGGTAAGCAGAAATATATGAACTCCATGAGCCCCATATGAATTTGCCAAGTTTCCTTGACCTCTGAGAGCCCACAAAGGAACTAGATGGGTAGAGTTCCTCCTTCTGTCCTTCAGACTGGGACAATATAAGGCAAGAAGAGGGAAAGAAAGTCTCCTTTAATGCCTCATCAGTAAACTGCAAGTTTCCCTGCAGGTACAAGCCTTCTGCTGGGGGTTTGTGACTTTGCAATGTGACTGTAGCTCTGCCTATCATAGGACTCCTCTATTTCCTGGTCCACTCTATCTGAGTTGACTTTGAGAGTTGCTTTGACCAGTAAGACATGGCAGATGTGACCCAGTTTCAGCTTTCACTCTCTTGGACTGCGTCCCTGAGACTACCATATAAGAAAGGCTGCCTAGCCTACTTGGGGATGAGAAGACACATGGAGAAGCACCAGAGTGTCCCAGCCAAGAGCCAGCATCTACTGCCAGACATGTGAGCGAGGCCCTCTTGAGCCTCCCAGCCCAGCCTGGCTGCCAGAGGCATGCACCACATGAGTGAGCTGAGGTGGAACTTACAAAAGAACCACTCAGAAAATGCACAGAATCACAAAAATAATAAAATCATCACAGTTATAAGACACAAAATTAGGGTGGTTTATTACACAGCAACAGATAATTGAAATATCCCACTCACTGATTACAATTTAATAAAAATAGAAATATTTACAAAAGTTGATCAAAGAGTAGATTACTTGATCATGTAAAGATACACAGGTAAAGTTTAAATCAAGGAGGTATGCAAAACTGAAGTTAGAAATAACTACAAAGTGATCAGAATGAAAACAATTTATACTAAAACAGCAAAAGTAATACTCATTCATAAAATTATAGTATTGAAAAGAAAGCTATAGTCAAAATACAATGATGTTCAAAAGAATCAAATGCTCATGTGAAGAAATTAGAAAAAGAATAAAATAAGCCAAAATAGTACAGAAAATGAAAAAAAAGAAAACTGATGAAGATAAGCATTGATGATTAATTGCTAGTTAGGATGTGAGCACAGGACACATTTTCAAAAATGTA